AAGTCTAGATTGAATCGGTTTGTGGTGAGATCATCGTCCTTCAGGACCGGGTCAGTAGTGTATGTGGAAGGCCACTATGAAAAAAAAGACAGTTAGAGACTCTAGGCCTGGGAGGTAACTTCGTTGTAGGAGACTAGTTCGGCCCCAGGCAAGTCTAGCGTGAATCAGTTTATGTGGTGACACCATCGTCCTTCAGAAGCGGGTCAGTAGCGTATGCGGAAGGCCACTACGGAAAAAAAAAAGGACAGAGACTCTAGGCCCGGGAGGTAACTTCGTCGTAGGCTTGTGAACTGGTGTCTTAAATCGACGATTCAAAAGGTGCAAATTTCCGAGCCTAGGATCTAGAGTGGCAGCCTTTGAGGAGACCTTTGTGCACAAACGGAAAGCAGATGGCACCGCGAGGTGCACCAAATAAGCAGAGAGCAAAGCGCTGAAGTCAATTGATAATGAAAGCCCGCTTCTTGCCTCGAACACCAGTGTCCACAATCTTGCTCTCCTGTGTGGCGCCCGTCACCCAGACTACAATCAGACAGCACCCATAGACTTAGATTCCTAAGCTACAACAGGTCTTTGTGCAGCGCTGCAGCCCGATGGTGAATGGAGACTCCGACTGAAGCGGCCTGCTCCTCACCACCAGGTAAGCGCCTCGCAGCATCACCCACACCTCGACTTCCACACGCCAGTCCCTCGCCTGCGGACCTTCGCTCAATCGGCCGGCTATGATGCCAGCTGCCTGACTATGGTTGCTGTGCTTCTGCTGCGCCATGCAGCTTCTTTCTCGTGCCCGGCCAGTGCCCGCCTCCACTTGGCCCAACTCTTGCCCAGCAAGCCAGCACTCCAGCAGCGCTGCTGTAGTCCAGCCAGCCAGAACGTTTCTAGTGAGTGAGCCACACTTACTTTTCTGCTGGTTGGCTGTGCGCGATGTAGGCTCTGGATGCTCGACCTCTCCCAATGGCTACGCCTATGGCCCTCTCAGAATGCGGCTGGGGCTCAACTGTAAGTGCACTGGGATCCATCATGTTTGCTGGGCCCAGCAGCTTCTACTGATCAGCCTGCCAGTTGGTTGAAGATGCTGCGTGCAGCAAGCAACCCACGGGGTTCTGATCACATCGGCCACCAAAATTGGCGTCGTCGACTTACAGCCTCATCTCTAAGGAGTGGCCATCTCGGAGCAGGATAAACGTATGTGTCATCTCATTGATTGTCGATGGTCAAGATGCTTGCACCTGCATGGCTACCATGTTTCTCCGAATAGCACAACATATGGTCATTTCATCTGTACGGCGGCGATGACTGTATGTTCTGTTCCGTTGAATGTGGTACGGGCATTATTACCCTGCTTCTCCTGCGAGCCTGTTGTTGTGGTAGGGGAGTTTGATTGCGCAGCTCGCGATGTTTTTCTTGTTATTGCCTCTTTGGTCTTTCGATAGTCTTCAGCCTCCACTCTTCTGTAAATGATTGTTTAGTATTGATGTCCGTCTTTTTGTTTTTTGAGTGAGAGTGCCTTCCCGGTTCTCAACGACCGAGAGTTGTTGCACGACGTGTTTGCAATTGGAGATTGATATTGTGAACGCCTTGTAGATGGCCCAATGTCTGTGGTGATCATGGTTCGTGACGGCTGTGGATTGTTCTGTGACTGTTCAAGGTCTTATTAGTAATTCGAGTAGGTGGTGGTCGTGGTTCTGCACAACCAAGAGTTGTTGTATGACCACTTCGCAACAATTCGAGATTGATATGGTGAGCAGCGTGTAGGTGCCCCATAGTCTCTGCTGATCATGGGTCTTGACAGCGGCCATAGATTGTCGTGTGAGCATTCCAGGGTCCGGTAACAGGTGAGGAGGGGTGGATTTACTTGATTAGGAACGAAGGCTTGTGGTGCCGTGGTCCTTTTCACAGTACGAAGGAATGACAAGAAGGAAAATTGAGCGATACGCATTCGTTTACAGTGGAGATGATAGCGTGCAAAAGAGTTGTCCTCCAAGCACGGTCAAACGGAGATGATGGAGCTTCCTTGTCGGCGGTGTTTATTTGCGATGTTATTCCCTCTAGGGAGGACTTTGAGTGGTTGCCTAGCATAGATGGATACGATGCGATGGGAACGTCAGAACTGACCTACAGTTTGATCTACCAAAACGGGCAATCTTTTTACAACGCTCGTTGGCTCGCTCTCGAGAATGTTCCATGCTATGACTCGGTAGTTTGTTCTCGAGTATGTTTCATGCAAGTATAGTGGTTTCATAGGTTGCTATGTGGTTCCACAGGTTCCATAGTTGTGCTATAGTGGTACCATAGGTGTGCTATAGTTGTTCCGTAGGTGTGCTAATGTTTTCATAGATTGCTGTAGTTGTTCCAGAGGTGTGCTATATGGTTCCATAGATTGCAATATGGGCGGTTCTTTTAGAAGTGCTACTTGTGGCACAGAGCTGCCCTTGTTAGAAGTACTTGTGGTACTGATCTGGCGATACAAGAAATGGCACGAGGAGTGGACGACCCTCAAGTTGTTTGTTCTAGAGTCAGGTTACCGTCGTCACAACTGGCAAATTTCTGTAATCGATAACTAGGTTGGCATGCCTTTCCTCTTCATGGAAATACCGGCACCATTCTGCGAGCAAGAGTTGCTGGTTACCCCTCTGGCCATTTAGTCGACGTAAGGGCCTGGCCTGCCTCCGCTGAGTGAAATTTATTCATGATGAAAAAAAGTGGTGGACGAGGTCTGGATAGCAGCTTGAAACGGATTGATATTCTGTTGTTTATGGACTTCTGCCTCTTGACGACGGTTTCCAGTTCATCACCAGTTTTTTCCGAATGTGTTTTTCTGTGTAGGCATCATGGTTTGCTTTCCTGTCTACCTATCTCTGTATAGGCATCATGGTTTTCTGTATAGGCGTCATGGTTTGATGATGTTTTATGTTGATTAGCTCTGTGACCTTCTCCTGTGCACAACCAGAGGCACTGTTAGACTTAGATGCAGGCGTGGTTGTCGCTGCCCCGGGCACTGTGTTTTAGTTGTGAGATTTTGTCATGTGTTCATTGAAACCTCACTTTTTTTCTATTTTTAGGGGTGGGGACATTTCAGGGGTGATGCTAATCTTCTTTGTATCGCTCTGTATCGCTTCAACTTTAACGGATGTCCTTAAAACGTCATGACTTTGGGGGTAGTGGACAGCGAAAATTGTTCTCTGGTGCTGGGTTTTGATTGATGTCCTGTAGTCAGATACTGATACCGATTTGTTTGGCGTATATAGGGTGGACGATTTGTGTGGCGTATATAATATAATATACATTCCTCGGTACCCGATATGGATTGTCTGAAGGATGACAAACGAGATCGAGAAGATTAGCATGGCCCCTGTGCAAGGATGCAGAAGGGTCTGGGACCCACTGGAAATGAAACAGTGCTTGTGGAGGCAGAGATCCCTCTGCAATCTCCATTTTGTTTCCATTGGGTGTCACCCCTCCCCCTCCTTGCTTGCCCTCTGCTCCTCTGGTTGTATTTTGGTTATAGAGTGAGTCAAATTTTCTTCTATTCTGTTGGCCTTGATTCCATGGTTATTCCTCGTCATTGTGACTGAACCAGGCTGGTGAGAGCTCTGTCCGCAGAGGGGGTGCAGATGTGGCTTACTGTGGTCGGAGGGGAAAGTTCACCATTCTTGCTATCGCTGTACAATCGATCTGGAGGGTTTAAGGAAGCTTGTCTTGTCTGCTTTTTTAAGAAATAACTGAAAGTGACGTCCTCTCTGACGTCCTCTGAATGGTGCCCCATACAGTAGAGGAAAGACATCCTCAGACCTTTCATGAGATAGGTGTTTTAGGTGTTCTGCTCTGCTGCTACCATGAACAGTCGGGCTGTGCGGATGAGATTTGATTGTTTGCTATTGGAAAGGTGGATGCAAGGCCACTTTGGGTAGACCGTGTTTGTTTGCCGATCCTGCTCGTCCGTTCGGACCTGGAAGAGGTCCATAGGAAAGGTGTAATGAGTGGAGTGGGGGTGATCCGCAGTGACGGAGTCGCTGGAAGACATGGCGTATGTGGATATCAACTCTGGTTGGTTGATTGTGGTGCAGAAAGCCTGTGTTGTGATTTGAAGTTTGGAGCGAGCGTGTCTGTTTGATGAACACCATGGCAAACATACGGGCAAGAGGAAGAGGATTGGATATTAGGAGACCCCATGTGTCAAACCACCAAGGCTTGGGAGCCTGCCTTCATCCTCTGCAGACCTCTGAATGCAGGCGGTCCGTACTTCCCTGAGATTCCGGTGTGTTGACGGTCACACCTTACTTGCCCACTGGTAGTTGCACGTGAGGATCTCCAGTCTATTTCCACTGACTGACCTTTGTATCTATATAATATATAGTATTATTAATATACAGATTGTATATATATAAAACATGGCCTGTCTGTGCTACGGGGGGCGATATGAGTAGCTGTCGCCTGTCGACGGCTCCTATGGATTGGTGGGGAGCAGGTGCTCCCTTGGCAATGAGTCTGTAATCATGGCACCAGCTACGGTCTCCTTTTGTGGTGAAGTATCATGCAAGATGACTATAGATCTGACAACCAAGTTAAGTGTCAGGACTCAGAAGTTAGTAGTTTAAGTCTAGTTGCATTTTGCTTTCGTATTTGGCGTGTTAAAAATTTTGGTAGTCGATGTCCTGTGATTGTTAAAAGGAAAACTGTTTTTTTTACGAATGAACCTGTAATGCAGTGTAAGGACTGAATTGAGTGACAACTTTTTTTCTATATTAAAACGTGGTAAAAAGTGCTAAAAAGACCGCCATCGAAGATCGTGACTGTCTTTTGCCTGGACTGAGCCTGCACACGGTAGTGGTGATAGATAGGGAGTTGTATTTGCGAGAGTCGTGTAGTTCCGAGTGTTTTCGCTGGCGTGATTCTCTTAGGAGGTTGGTTTGTACCTGGGTTCACGAGTCTATGATGCCTGCGGTATTTAGTGGACTGTTGTGTGTTGTGCCTTGGCTGTTTTTGTGTTCTCTGACATGCAGGATGAAGTCTGGTGTTGGTGGGAGCGTTGATCTGACGGGAAGGAACGGGCACAGTCGCATTCAAAACGACGACAGCTTGTATCAAATTTCAGGTGATGGTCACCATCTGTTCTAGTTGTGTTGTGGCACACACATTTTCCCCAGTAAGCCATTTTTGCCAAATCTGCCACTTCCAGTGACAAGTGGGGAATGGGGTGCGGTGCACTCGAAGTCGTGGCCGTTATTGTTTGTTTGGTCCCTTTTTGTGTTGGTGCGTTTGTTTGGTCCCCTTTGGTAGATTATACTTTGCGCTCGCTGGTTCTCCCACTTGCTGCACACACTTTTTCTATGCCGTTCTCGTTTGCCACCTCTGCTATTATCAATAACACAACGAGACTGCGGTGCACAGCAAGACATCAGGACTACCACCTGTGCTGTGGTTAGCACAACTCCGCCGAATGTGCAGGATTTGTTGTGCGAACTGTTTGGCCTAGTTGTGAGCAACCGTCTTCACCCGAATAGAACGCCCGGTCATTATAGCTGTATTTGGCACAACTTCCGGTCCAGATGCAGCGATAATGACCGGGCGTTCAATTCGGGTGAAGACGGTAGCTGGATTCATTGAAGTGAGCGCGAAGACTGGCTCATTGTGTGTCGATTTCCAAACTGGCGATCCCCTCCGGATATGGTACGAGCATTGTGCCATGGGGATGGAGTGTCAGTGCCGGTCGTTTTTTTTTTTTTTTAAGATGTCAGTCGATCTTTTATTGTTTAAAAGATAACCTCTGTACTACGCTGCGCTCGTCTGACGGTGCATAATCGATCCTTAGCTGCTGACTGAGGCAGTATGAGGCGAAGAGAGTGCACATCGGTCACTCTGGATGAATGAGGGTTGCAGTGTGCTCTTGTGTGCTGTTTTGGATGCCAGCTGTTCTGACACAGCATGGATTCATGCAGATGACAGGCTGGAGTTCATACGATACCTACACAGCTGTTTTTTTTTAATGTTATGGAACATAACTGAATGGGGGGAACAGTTCTGTTTGGGTTTTTTTGTAACAGGTAAGTCTTTATTTGTAAGGCTCCATGGTTCTTTGTCATGGTCACTGGTTCTTTGTCATGGTCACTGTACAGGCCTGTTCTGTCATATGTAGGCGGAGAAGTGTGATCGAGAAAACAATGACATACATGCCAGTATTAGAGGAGATCGTATTATCAATGTACTGGGATGTATGTCGTTGTTTTCTCAATCATTAGCTGTCGTGTCCCATTGCGGGCGGAAGGACTGAAAGATCGAGGCATTACCAAACGTCATCGGGATTCCCGAGACCTGATTTATGCAGCAGGGGTAATTGATGTGGACCAAGGCCAACCGCGAAGCTTTTTGTTTTTCCCCCTCTCTGAACTCCATCTTGCCAGACCGGTCATCAGATCGATTTGAAGGTAGTGTGAGCGCACAATGAAATGCACATTGACGCTGTAAGTCGTGACACAAAAGCGTAACTGAGGGGTTCTTTTGGAGTTGAGGAAGTATCTACACACTGCGACTTTTTGACAGAAATTTGGCTGTGATTCTGGATGCGGACCTGAAAACTTTATGCCCTGAAAGGTGTGAGGTTTTGGTTCAGGACACTGGAGGCCGAGTTGGTTAACGTTATGCTCGTATTGTCTCGGAACTCGATAGCTGTGTTAGGTTCTTGGACCTTTTAAGTTCTTTGACCTTTTAGGTTCTTTGACCTTTCATGTCGAACAAGAAACTTGTTGTACGGCGATATGGAAGCGGTTGATGCTGAAGCGGTTGTTATGGATGCTGCTAGTAATGCCTTGTCAATTTTATTTTTATGGGAAATGAAAGGCGGCTGCTGTAGCCCACGAAGTAGGTGGCCAGCCCCCCTCAGCCCTACACGTGCTCGCGTGTGTGTGCGTGTGTGTGTGCGTGAGTATGTGTGCATCTGTGTGTACTTGTATGTGTATGATCGTATTTGTGTGCTTCTTCGCCTGGCGGTGGCAATGTGTGTGGATGTGTGTGCTTGCACGGGGAGGCCACCCACGGCACGGCAGGGAGTGGGGTTCTCACGTTCCCACCCCGTTTTTTGTCTCTGTTCTGTGGTTGGATGCTGTGGCTTGATTTCATGCTGCTTGTGTTTCTGTGTGGGTCGTGCGGATGCGAAATTTTGTGTCGCGCAGTGGGAAGAGTATTCGCACCTTGTGGTGTGAAGCACACTTGCGCCGTGCAGTGATCTAACGATAGGGCGATTTGGCCCCGCGCATCTGTACCCAACTTTCTCCTAGTATGCTGTTCTCATGCACTGCGTCAGCACAGGCAGGGCTTTGCCTACGTATTATGCGCAGAAGCTTGGTGCGTTTTTATGCATGGATGCCTCTTCTAAGGCCAGCAATCTTTCTATAGGCATGATGAAGATGCAGGTACGGGTGATGATTGTTTGTCGAGTAATAGAAGTATAGTTTGGTGCTACAGGTCCAGATATGAATATGGTAGTATTCAGGAGCCAGTCGTCAGCGCAAACACTCTTCTCTGAGGGATGTTTTTGTAGCTGTCAACTGATGTGTTATCAGTGTGTTGGTCACTCTCTAAGAGCTTGCAGAGGCCCTTTTCAAGGTTGCCTAAGTTAGGCAGGAGTCTTCATGTCTATGGGTTATGTATACTGAGGGCATACTTGCACTAGGATGTTTTCGACTCAGCTGTGGACATGACATGATAGTGGTCAGGTGAATGTAGAAAGTGCTAGTGTGAGTATGCCCTGAGGGATGTCTTTAGGAGGAAGAGCGGGCGGCTGTGGACAACAGAACAGACCACCCGCACACGTAGGCAGGTAGGTAGTATCTCGGGAGAAAACCCTTGCATGTATGGAGGAACCTCATTTTGTGTTGCATTCCGTCAGATTGGCTACGGGAAAACTCTAGAATGCAGTGAAGGTAAAAGATCCATAGGCCATTTGGCAAGGTATCAGCCAGCCAAGCGGTGGGTTGTGTGTTCGATTCTTGGGTTGGGCACATGCATGCACACTTGTGAATCGACATCCTTGATATGTTCCCACCAAGATGGCGGGTCGGCCTTGTCAGGTGGTCCGCGCGATGGTAAACCGCAACTCATCCATTGGGTCTGGGCCGTTTTAACCCAATGTGAACATTGCAGGCGCTGGTGGGTCTAACCAGCCAGTGGGTGTTCCACCCCTTGCAGAGATGCCGGCAGGTTATCACGGGGCCGGGAAAAGGCTTAGGGTGTGCCGTCTCAAAAGGTTGGTGGTGGCAGGCAAATTGTGTGCTGCGACTGTTCGGATTTCCTAGGGCTGGGCAGAAATCTGCATTGGGAAAAAGAGCGTGGCAATGGAAGGGTCCAGTGCCAAGCTTGTTACGCCTCGTCTACTACGAGGGGCCTTCACTGTAGACGAAGAATTGGGAAAGGATTATGAAGGGTGTAAGGGTCCTTAGTGAAAAAGACTAGAGGACAAAGAGGGGTTGGTTGGCCTTCTCGTGACAAATCATTTGCTCCATTGTTTTTTTTTATTATATATATATTGACGATATATATGTATATGTTTATATATATCTATTCTTTGAGGCAAAGGCTGATGGCTTTGAGCTATTCTATTTGACGATATATGTATATGTTTATATATATCTATTCTTTGAGGCAAAGGCTGATGGCTTTGAGCTATCATCCTCGGAACTGACCAGCCTCAGGTAATTTAGCTTCTAAGAAGCATTTGATTTCATTCATACAGTAATTCCAATTCCATCTGGATTTGAACTCGCGTCTCAATTTCAACAGATCATGGGTATACCACCTGAGCTGCTCTTCTCTTGTGCGCTTGCCTTTGTTGTACTTCTGCTCATGACTATGCAATGTCTTTATTTTTCCTCCCTTTTTTTCCCTCCCTTTTTTTTCTCCCTTTATTTTCTGGCACAGGGGCGGATGCAATCTTCTCTGTTTCCTTCCAATTTCATCCCGAAGGACACCAAGCCGTGTCTTTCTTGTTTGGTTCTTCATCCCCCCACCCCCCTCTCCTCCCTTTTTTTGTTTGTTCTGTTTTACATCCTGTTGACGGTAATGGTGATGTCGTTGCGTCTTCTGCTGACCGAGCAGTGGCTCACAACCAAGCGGTGGCTTTATCCTTGTGTTTTCGTTCTTTCGTTGTTTCGCTCCCCCACCCCCCTCTCCTTCTGCCGACCGAGCAGTGGGTCACAACCAAGCGGTGGCTTTCTCCTTGGCTTTGAGCTATCATTCTCGAACTGACCAGCGTCAGGTAATTTAGCTTCTAAGAAGCATTTGATTTCATTCATACAGTAATTCCAATTCCATCTGGATTTGAACTCACGTCTCAATTTGTTGTTTCGCCCCCCAACTTGTGCTTGGTTCTTTCGTTGTTTCGCCTTGTGTTACTTCAGGTGGTAAGGTCACGAGGTACTCCAAAGAGAACGATATGCTGATGCAGAAGCTCACCTTGTCAGAGCAAATGGCAGGTTACCAAATGGAGGCAGAAAGACTTCGAATGACAGAGTTGCGGATCGCTGACATGCACGCACTACAAATGGTAGCAGATGACCTGGTGAACATGCCGTCTGGGCAGTCGAGGACACCCAATGGAAGTGCCTTCGAGTTTCTTGATACAGGAATGTTTGCAGATGGTAAGTCTCTTTGGGATTTTATTGATTTCGCCTTGTTTTTTTTTTCTCCATGGGTGCGCTTTGCCGATTTGGTCAGTTGTAAACAAGCACAGTGGAAGGTGATATGCGGTACAGTGGCGTATGCAGGAGATTCCGATTTTGTCAGTAGGAAATTGATATCTGTCCTGCAAGATGATGATTGGCTGTTTGGATCGGCCACAACGTCGGCGGTGGAAGGTGATACGTAGATGTGTACAGAGACGCTTATGGGGTCGCGTAGGGAGACTATAAGGGAGTTGTTGACGGTGACGTTTACCACTGTCCTTTGCAAATCGCTGATGCATGACGATTACCACTGCCCTTTGCGGCAGTGACGACGACGACGACGAGTGAAATTTTTCATATGGTCTGCTCTCTTTGCGGCGGTGCCTACCGTTTTCGCTCGAGTAGAATGCCCGGTCATTATCACTGTATCCAGACTGAAAGTTTCACAAAATACACAGCTATAATGACTGGGCGTTCTATTCGGGTGAAGAAGGTTGGCATGCGCATAAGTGTATGATGACGTGTTGCGTCGAGTTTTTTGCTGTGCTGTCTCTTTGCGGTGGTCCCTAGTTGAACAAGATGAGCGGTGGTGGAAAGGTGGCCCTTTGCTGGTTGCTGTGTGGAAGACGGTACGGACAAGTGTGTGATGTGTTGAGATGATATTTTTTTGATGTGCGTTTCGTTGTGCCAGATACACCCTTGTTTCATTCTCGGAATCCTCTCGGACGCGTGGTTAACGCCCTGGAAAAAGCGAGTGAGAGAGTCGAGAACTGCCGAGATGCGTCTCCTCACAGGTGAGCGAACTGTTATGCAAATTCCTTTTGTAGATGTGTATATTCCAAGTCAGTCTGGTGATTGTGAGGTTTCGGTGCTTTCTGTGGGCATGCCGCAGTTGCTGTAAGTGATTATATGTTGGGTTACTTGTTCGCAAGTGACTACGTGTTATGGGTTACTTGTGTTGTAGACGTTTTCCAAGTTTGCGGATTTTATATGTTGGGTTACCTACTCAAAATCCTAATGTCAGGGGCGTCTCTCCACCACTCTCGAAATGTGCAAGACGAAAGTGAATCTTCTGCTGGAACAAGGAAAAGCATTTCCGGAGTAGTGGAGCGATACCTCAAGTGTTTTTGTTGAAGTGGTCTGATTGCAATTGCCTAGAGGTTTCAGTACTTTGTGCTCGTGAAAGTGTCCTTAACTGATTGTATGTTGGGTTACTTGTGGTGTTCTCTCATTCCTGCAGCAATGGCCTCGGGCTTTCCGTGAATCCTTTCCTGCTGTCTCCTATTCTCAACAGTCAGATGTTGGATACCGGCTCCAATGCTGCGGCGAAGGGATGCCCCTTCTCCACGTCTTTGACATCTGTTCAGCAGCCACTGCCGGCAGCACAGCAGCAGCAGCAGCAGCAGCAGCATATGTACGAGAGTGGATCAGAGTCGAGGAGCAGCGGATACTGCGGATTGGGAAGCCAAAGTCTCTTCTCATCTGCAAGTACAACCCCAATATCAGGGGTGTCGGAACATGATCTCACGTGCCCGATATGCTTAGGTGAGTTGATGCCGGCTTGATGATTGTTTATTTTTACCGCCTCGGCGGTATGGCGCCAGCTGCCGTTGCCTAGTAATATTTTCATGTCGTGCTCGACCGTCGTGGGATTAAAATACTGACCTTTGGACTTCCGTGCCTGCCATTGGCTGGTTGGACTCAACCGACCGCTCGGCCTTCACGGTCGAGGCCGTATTCTAATGGTATTGGCTTGGAATGGTATTAGCATTTGCGATTCCATACACAAGGACGTTTGTTTTTGACCAGGCTCTGGTCGGGAGTGTGGTCAGGTCCGTTGTGGCGTAGCTGTGATAGCGCTGGGATGCATGCATTGTGGAAAGTAACTGTTGTAGTGTGAATGATATCCTCTTTGTTTGATGGTGCACCAGCTCTGTACAATGAGCAGTAGTGCTGGTGTGGTGTGAATATGTGCTCTTTTTTTTTGACCCCAACAGCTTCGTACAATGTGAAATATCCGGTTTCCCAGATACAGCAGATCTCACATGCGGAGTACGTTTTGTTGGGTGACCAGGTAGACCTCTCATGCGGAGTAGGTTTGGTTGAGTGAATTAATGCGCTGTCTTGTTTGCTTAGTTTTGAGTTTCACTTTTATTGCTGTCCCTGTCCCCCTTGCTCATTGGCCAGGTGGGCCGGTGGCCCGGATTCTGATGGAAATTTGTTGTTTTGCTGTGCATCTGTCGCAGAGTACTTCACGGAGCCCGTGGAGCTTGATTGCAGCCACACCTTTTGTGAGATGTGCATCTCTCAGGTACGCGAATGACTTGCTGCTGCCGCCGAGTTGTCTTGGGGTTCTGTATTTGCGGTGTGATTTGGGGGAGGTATATCCTCGGGGACATCCTTTCAAACGATACAGAGAACCTAGTAGCCAAGATTAGTATGACCCCTGTGCAAGGAAGACACGCATAAATTGAGAAATGGTCCCAATCTTTTCACAAAAAGAAAAAGGGAAGGTATGCTCTTCCCTGCTGTAGGTCCCTGAAGCACAACGAACTGTTGAAATGCAGACTCGAGTTTGAATCTATATATAATCAGATGCCCGGAATAACAGAGTTCTACATTACCTGAGGCCGCTCAGCTTCAATGATGGTATCTCAAGGCCGACGACGTTTCTGAAGCACCAGGACATGGCCCCAGCCAAATTGAGAGTCCGATCGAGCCTCTCCTAAAATCTCGGAGGCTTATGCTCCGTCGACAAAATGAATCGACGACGGGAGGCTGCCTAAACGTGCCCGCAGCCGATGGCTGGCATGTGCTGGTGGTGGTTTAAGAAAGAAAGAGAAGACGGTAATGGGAAGGAAGAAGGGAACGAGGAAAAAAGAACGATGTCTTTTTTGGGTCTTGCTTGTACTTGCTTGTAATCTTCTTCTGTCTGTGCTGTGGGTTTCCCCAAAGTACAAAGAGAATAACCCGTCGTATGGTGGTGTGTTACGGTGCGATTTGAAAAGGTAGCTATTCTATTGTGCTCGGGAGGGTGAGTGGCAAAATAAAATGGAGGTCGAGGGTATATCTGCAATTATGTCCCTCGGGACATCACTATTTATATATACGCTTCTGAGGAAATTGTGGTCGGACGTTAGCCCTGAGCCTAGAATACGAAGGTCCTCGCCCAGGACGCGGGCCTCTTTTGTATGAGGCAGATTCCCCCTGTGTGCCAAGCTTTGCCGGAACATGGGCTAATCGATTCGTTTTCGCTTTTGGTCCGTTGGGCCCGAGCCTCTGAAATTTTAGGGGAGGCTCAATTGAGATTCTCAAGTTGGCTGGGCCCGTGCACTGGCGGTTTAATGTTGAGTCGAGTCCGTCAGAGTGAAATTACACATGCAGGAGGCGAGTGCAGGATGAGTGCTAATGAACTTTGCTGCAGAGCGGTTGGGTATCTCAGTGTTGATGAACTTTGGCGTTCTTTGTTGTGATAATATGTGGATGACGGTCGTCGACGTTTTTTTGTAGGTAATGCGAGCAAACAAGGAATGCCCCATATGCCGCAGGCAGGTCGGTCCACATATTCTGAAGTACCTTGAGATGAAAGACACACACGCTTGCCTGCAGAGTGTGCTCAGAGGTGTGCAGAGCTGCTGGTGACCTACACTCCACTGACCAACATAGGGTCGTCATGATTGCAAGTGGGCCATGTGTCTGCGGAGGTATCATCTGTTTCGATCCATGAAGGGGGAGGACGTTGGGTTTGCGGGGTCACCCCGCGGGTGGGTGTAGTCTTTGTATGTGCGTGTGTGTGTGTGTGAGAAAGAGAGAGAGAGAGAGAGAGAGAGAGAGAGAGAGAGAGAGGGAGAAAGGCCATGTGCAAGGACAGAAAGAGATGAAGGCGGCTCGCTGAAGAGCTGGAAGGCAGTTGACGCACTCTGCTTCCTTATGTTATGAAACGGTGCAAGCATGATATTGATTGGAATGCTGGCTCTGGCTATGCAGTAGAATTGCTTCTGACGAAAGAGTATCAGTCTTGAGGAGTGGTAATGAATGTTTCGGTACAATGAGACAAGAGCGAAGGGTTATGTTTGGGACCGTTGGATTCTTTTAGGGCACTTTTCGTGCCCCTGCTGTTGCACGAGCTGAGTGCACGGTTAAGCGGTTCGCTTAAGTTGCTCTGCTGCTTTGATCTGTGAAAGACATGGAGATTTTGCCACTCAGCGAGAGAGAGAGAGAGAGAGAGAGAGAGAGAGAGAGAAAAGTCAGTGAAGAACTTGTATTCATGCTCTGCTAGGAGGTCTGTCTGCATATGGCCAGTTGGTAATGATTGGGAGGCTGGCTATGAAGGATGGCATGCTGGGAAAAAGTGTGTTTGGAATCTTTGGAGGAAATGCCATTGGATGTCGACTGTTTGATAAGTAGCATTGCCTACTGTATGGCGGTGTACTGAATGGTTATTGATCGAAACCCCCTTGTAGAGTGGCGGGGTTCGTATAGAGTACCCAGTTGATTGAGCTCGATCCGTGGAGATGGATAGAAAGAGTTTTATATTCCGGGCGCCGCGGGGTCTCTGCAGTGGATCGTGTGCCAAGTTCTGGTCATTTGTGAATGCGTGTGGCATATGGCCGAAGTCGCAGAGCAAGTTATCATCCTCGGCAGCCATGGCCTGTATTTCATCATCAAGGGGTACTTTCCTTTTTCAAATTGCTTTTCGTTTTTCCTTCGGTCTGCCCGGTGCGAATCATGGTCAATCGGCACAAAGCTGTCGGGAATCCACTTCCGAGGAGAGCGCTGGCGGCAGCATTTTCCAGGGACTTCATTATTTCTTGTTGTTGAGAGTGGACGGAGGCCAGTGCGTTCGCCCCCCGGACAGATCTTCATTTGATGATTTGGTTGTGTGTATTTGAGGTTTGCGGCTTTGAGCAATTGTTTGGCATCCAGGAAGGAAATTGCACGGCTGGGTGCCGTTGATGAAGCGCTCAAGATCAGAGATAGTGTTTTGTGTGGCTCAGGCCGTTGAGAACGCAGTGGTAGGGAATAGGGAGGGGTCAAAAACGGAAAAAATGAATGGGCACAATGCCCGTTGATGAAATTGATGGGGGGAGTGGGAAAGGGCGGGCGGGGGGGGGAGAGGGAGGGGGCGGGTAAGGGTGCAGGGTGCAGGGTGAGGGAGATGCGATCTCCTTGGTCGCTTGCTCGGGCAGGGGTCAATTTGTCGGCGTTGCGGCCCTTAGGGGCTCTACATATATCCCTCTGAAAGGCAACAGAGAGGATTCTTCATACAATACATATCAAATACATACTCATCTGGCTGTGTTGAGGCTTTTGCACAAGTGCAGACTCTCGCCCTACTGCAGCGTTGGATGTGATGATGGATTATAGCACGCAAGGGAAAGGTGCGATGACCATCGTGTCTTGGTTGAGATTATTATTGGCTGTGGGACACCATTGAATTGAGCGTCGAAGATTGGATGTTGTTATTTTTCTCACAATTTCTGTAGGAACACGACAAGAGGGGTGAGGTATGGGATCCCGACCCGAAATCCCTTCCTTGGCAATGAATGACACGTGGCGCAAGGAGCGACAGTGCGGCACAAAGGCTTCTGTGCGAGGTTACACACTGCCCCACGATGTCAGGTTTGTATGTTTTTGGGCAAGTTAGTACTGTTAGGGAGAGGGTATAGACTGCGCGATTCCATGTGGAGATTATCATCACCGAAACACAAGAGTTTCCAAACGTGGACGGGGGCGGCGGCGACGACGACGAGTGAAATTTTTCATTGATTGTAGTGTATTGGTACAGTGGTGCGTTGACCTGGTCCGGTGGACGGGTGGGTGTGGAGCAGAGGGGGTGCGGAAGCGGTACACAGCAGAGCTCCTTGGATCATTTCAACACCGCAGGTAAGGCGGTGTTGCTTAATGCTGAAGCCAACGCCGGTGATGATGATGTTGATGATGTGCGACTCCCCTTTCCTGGCTGGCGACTTTTGATCGCTTCGTCTTGTGCTCTGGTTAAGCGTGCTGCTGCTGCTGCTGTTCGTGAAGTCAGCTCTGTTGAAGGGGATTGCTTCTATGTATATGCATGCTTTTGCATGAGGGTGTTGTTGCGAGATCACAGCGGTGGGTAGAGGGAGGGGTCATTATTCTCAGGTGCTGGGGGTGTATGTGGTGATATGGTTGAGTATAGTTGTGGAGTGCGGCTCAAGAGCGCACAGTTCAAGCACCAGCGGATGCGCCAGCGGGTGAATGTGTACCTGGCGCACTTCAGAGGACAGTCGGAGGAGTATGTACCTGGCGCACTTCAGAGGACAGCCTGCCGCACCTGGACCTGGTACACTCGGTTGTTCTTCTTTTTTGTTTCCGTTTCCTTTTGCTTTTGATTTTGCCCATCTTCATTGGCGACGGTGAAGAGGAAGGCATGGTTATGTTCCCATTTTTGTGTGGTTCAATTATTAAGCAAAGCCAATTTGGCGAAGCGAGCAGCAGACCTTGTGCTGGATGTGGCGGTCTACTAGGCGTGTGCGTGCGACATCCGGTCGATTTCAATGTCGTTTCAACGGAGTACGAGTCGGCGCGCATTTATGGTCACTGTGTGCATGCATGCATGTGGTCACTGTGTGCATGCATGTGCTCCAGATTGGGGCTACCTACGTTCGGTGGCTTTCTTCGTACTGCGAAACAGCTCGATGACCTGATCGCTAGAACAAATTCATTGTTTTCAAAATAACGAAAGGAAGGGAGGAAGGGGGCGGCTATGAAAGCGTGACCGACAGACGGAGGAGAGCGAGCTAAGCGTGGAGCTGTAAGAGAAAGAGATATAGACTCCGAGGAGGTGTTGTCAAACTCTCTGTCTAGGTCAGCTTCTACTTCTTCTTCCCTTAATTCCACGAGCTCGAATTTCGTTTCACAAGCAAATGTCATATTTGTATCACCTCAGAGATGTTTTCCCTGTTCGGTTTCTTGTTTGATTTCTTGTTTGGGGTTTAATTTCCGCTTCAATCAATTTGTTAAAGAAAAGTGTGTGTTGTTGTGTTTGCGCACGGTGCTTTGTGCGGTAGCAAGCACAACGGAGGTAAGGATGAAGAAGAGTGTATTAGGATGGTCGAGGTCTCGGGACACATCGGCCATCGGATTATATGATTGGTGACCCGACCACCACGTCTCTGGTGCCAGCGGGCAGCAATTTCATGACAGACTGACAGTGTGTGTATCTGCTCAACGGAGATGTTTCCATCGGCCAGCGGAAGAAGGCATGGAGGTAGGGAGGAGGGGGAAGGTGTTTCATCCCACATGTCATGGAAGGTGTAAAGGATGGGAGCACTTCCTAGAGTTTTTGTGTGGTCGAACAGTATATGGGTGTAGACAGAGGTCGTGATTACGACAACAGGTACTTTGATGGGCAGCGAGCGAGGCTCTCCGAAGAAGATCAGACGTGCTATCTATCCGCTCCCTGGGGGGAGGGGGGAGGCGGGAGGCGGGAGGGAGCAATCGGAACTGAGCTGCCCTTCTGTCGATTGGGTTTGTTAGCAAAAAATATACAGTAGGTTGTCAATGATTGTTAAGCTGTGTTTTGTAGGCTACGCACAGCGGTCGCCCTTTGTTCTCGTCGCCCTTTTCCCTCGCCTGGTTTCCCGTTTACGTGGAGATCTTCCCCCCCTCTAATCCGTAGTGTCGTTGCTTATGTCGGGTCAGTGCGAAGATGCACTACGGCTCACTTGTTTGTTCTATTATTTCTCCCTCCCATACCCCTTGACAGTACAGAGGAGTTCATTGCTTCTGAATAGGGCATCCAACAACATCATGCTTTGCGGTGCAGTCATCTAGAAAATGGAGAGAGAGAGAGAGAGAGAGAGAGAGAGAGAGAGAGAGAACCTTCCTATCTATCGTCACGCTCAACCCTCCCTCCATTACTCTCCGTGTCTCCTCCTCCTCCTAATCGTCCTCCTCCCTCTCCTGCGCACCCGTCTTTCCACCCTGATCCCGTAATGGGTTCTGATATTACAAACAACAAACCCAAATTTGATTCTTCCTCGGGGAACTCTATCTAGGTAACATGATGTACATCGGACTGGTTTGTTTCTGGGCCGGGCCGGAATTTATGTTCCCGGTCCCCTCTTTTTTTTTTCATGGTCCACATTTCCACAAACATTTTTCTGCCGTCTGTGGGCAGGTCGTTTGCCCATCTGCCCAGATCGATCGCCATCCTTATCATCGTTGTAAATTTAATAAACTCGAATGTTCATAAAGGTTTCCTCCTGGACTTCTGGCCACCGAAGTAGAGCTGTGGGCTGAGAGATCGACTTGCTCATTGCAGTTTTCGAGCGTTTATGCCGTCGAGTCCGAGTGAGTCGTCTGCTTTCGAGATTGTCTCTGCTGCTACTCTCTTACCTCTGCTTCTAACTTGCTCATGTCATTTTCAATCAGCTGTGGGCCAATGCCTTCCTGCTCTGCGACTTCTCAATGTACACAGTTTTTTTTTTTTTGGGGGGGGGAGGGGGCCGGAAGGGTTGCTGAGGGATTGGGAACCATTGGGAGGATACCAGCTTGGAATGCACTGGCTCTTCCCTGGGTATGTAGTGGGAGTGCGATTGAAGCACTGGCCGCCAGGGTAGGGCCTGGTTATATCTCAGCCTGGACAATCTTTTAAAAAACAAGTGGACCCAGCGCGGTGAACCTGCGCCCCAGTCCTGTCTATACATGGCAGGAATTGTGGCAACGTCGGTCTGTGTGTGTGTGTGTGGGGGGGGGGGGGGGGGGGGGGGGGAGGAGCAAAATCGGAATGAATCTTCAGCCAGAACGTGGAAATGTACACTGCCAATCTCTTTTTTTCCCGTTCTTATTTCCCTTTTAAATCCTTTTTTGTGTGCATGAACTGAGAAGCCTGCCAATGTGCAAAATGAGAAGGAATCTCCCGCAAGAACATAGGAAGATACACCGCAACGGACAGATACATTGAAAACAAATCCGGGTGTGAGTATGGACTAAGGAGCTGTCAGATGCACATGTTGTGGGGAGAGAGAGAGAGAGAGAGAGAGAGAGAGAGAGGGGKGGAGAGTTTTCCATGCATAGGATGAGGGAAATGGGAATTAATCTGTCGCTAGAACATCGAAATATACATTGCAACATTTTGGCAGTGTATATTTCCATGTTGTGGCAGAGCACACTTTCATGTTCTATGGGAAGATTCCATTTTGCTCATTTGGTGAAGCGTGGCAATTGCGGGGTGTGTGTGTGTGTAGGATGAGCAAAATCGGAATGAATCTTTGCCCATAGCATGGAAATATACACTGCCACACTTTTTTTTCCTTGTGTGTGTGTGTGTGTGTGTGTGTGTGTGAGAGAGAGAGAGAGAGAGCCAGAGCGAGAGATTGGGAGAGGCTACTCCCATCTAACGGATTAGCAAAATCGGAATGAATCTTCCGCTGGAACATGGAAATATACACTGCGACTTTGTTCTCTTTCCTTTTTGGCATCTGTGGCACAGAGAGAGAGAGAGAGAACAGGTAAGTCTCCATATATTTTTGGACTTCTGTGCATTGAATCCGAACATGCTAAAACGCCCAGCTATGAACTTGTATTCGAACGTGAGTTGCACGCCGGCCTGGAACGCACTGAAAAGGGCTGCTCGCCAGCTTGGAACACACTGAAAAGGGCCGCTCGCCGGCCTGGAACGCACTGAAAAGGGCCACTATTAACAGCGCAAATGGAAACCAAGCGCCACTGCGGAAGATAAAACGGAACAGCCCGCCAACCAACTGCATATGGGCAGGAAGATGTGGAATGGAAGAAAAAGCGAACAACTCGGAGTCTGCAGCTTGTATTCAAACGTGGGCCTGGATATTTGCGACCCCGCAAGCCAGTGTGGCCCACACAACGCCAAGGGCCCAACAGGGAATGATGTTTTCCCAACAGTGTCACTGGCAGTCGGGCCTTGCGGGGGCGTTATGTGAGACCCGGCTTGCACTTTTATTTAGAGAAAAGAAAAGTTGGGTTATAGGAGGGGAGCGATGCAACTGCTGTTCCCTTCCTCTCAAGACTTTTATGATCTCATTTGACCAGACCCGGCCCTCCCCCCCCCCAACCCCCCGACCCCACTCCCCTTCCTAACACCCCCCCCCCCCCCCCCCCCCCCCCCCACTCAGGTTTCTTCCGCCTCGTGGGCTAATCACCCACCGGCTCGCATGCACGTTGAACTCCTCGGTCCGTGTTTCAANCCCTTCCTAACACCCCCCCTTCCCCTCCTCCCCCTACCACTACTTCCTCCCCTGTCTGAGACTCCTTGTTCTGTTTTCGCTGTGCATCTGAACCATGGCTCCAGTGCCTACCCTCTTCCCCTGAATACAACATACGGTCATTATAGCTGTATTTAGACTGAATGCTGTTCCGGATAGAGATTCGGGAGAAGAAGGTATAGGCGTGTGCTTGTGAACATGTTTGTGGTCTACCCCTTACGCAATTTTGCCCTTTTGTAATTTTGCCCTTTTGTAATTTTGCCCTTATGTAATTGTTTGTGGTAGTGTACCATGCTGCATTACCAGCCGGGCCGCTCTGTCACCTTGGTTGCGCAGGCAGCCAGGTCAGGCAAGGGTCAAGGAAGCTGAGGGGCAAGGGGGAAGGAAGCTGAGGGGCAAGGGTCAAGGAAGTTGAGGGGTATTCAAACTGTGAGCTAGGCCAGTTGGTAAACTGGGCAGCTTATGCCTGAGGATTGCGCTGAAATTGTTTGCCAAGGAGAGTAAAAAAGGCTGAATGTGACCCATATAATGAATGGGCTTCGCTCCACTACTCTCGACGTGTACCAAAGTCAAAAGCCATGGTGGTGTCTTTCCATGTTCTAGTGGGGAAGACTTGCTCTCCGTTTGCACATTTCGAGAGGAGTGGAGTGGAGCGAGCCCCGATGTCTGATTTGCGAGGAGTCGAGGACTGTTACCAGTCTACGTTAGGGAGGTTGTCAAAGGATCGGCTGCTACTTCTGTATTATAACAAGTGAACCCCTGCGACAGCCCCACCCCAGGAACGGCCATTATCTGGCCCGGGCGGATGAGCAGCATTTCCGGGGGCATCGGCCAAGGCATGCACGCCGTCGGATCCTTTGTAAATCGGAACTATTTTATTCTGGTCGCCGCTGGATTCGAACTTGCGTCTGCAATTCAACAGTTTCATGTGTGCATCAACTGAGCAGCCTGCCAATGTGCAAAATGAGGGAGAGAGAGAGAGAGAGAGAGAGATCAACACACCAGTGAGCAGGTAAGTCTCCAACCCTGCGGCCGGCCTTGCGCTACTTGCATTGATAGGATGAGCAAAATCGAATGAATCTTTCGCCAGGACATGGAAATATACAGTACTACACGTGTGTGTGTGTGTGTGTGAGAGAGAGAGAGAGAGAGAGAGAGAGAGAGAGAACAGGTCTGTTTCCAATCTCGCGGCTGGGCTCATGGTACTTCCACCGAGAGGAGCAAAATCAAATGAATCTCCCACTAGAACATGGAAATATACACCGCCACCTGCGCCCGCCCGCTGCCATGCCTTTGGCCCCGCTCGCCTGCTGCCTTGCCATTTGAGTGTGTGTGTGTGTGTGTGTGTGTCTGTGAGAGAGAGAGAGAGAGAGAGAGAGAGAGAAAGAAGAGCTCTGTTTCCAATCTCGTGGCTGGGCTCATGGTACTTCCACCGAGAGGAGCAGAATCGAATGAATCTCCCGCTAGAACATGGAAATATACACCGCCACCTGCGCCCGCCCGCTGTAGTGCCTTCGGCTCCGCTCGCCCGCGGCCTTTCCATTTGTAAGTGTGTGTGTGTGTGTGAGAGAGACTGCGCCCGCCCGCTGTTGTGCCTTAGGCTCCGCTTGCCCGCGGCCTTGCCATTCGTGAGTGTGTGTGTGTGTGTGTGTGTGTGTGTGTGTGTGTGTGTGTGTGAGAGAGAGAGAGAGAGAGAGAGAGAGAACAGGTAAGTTTCCAATCTCGCGGTTGGGCTCATGGTACTCCCACCGAGAGGAGCAAAATGGAATCAATGTCCCGCTAGAAAATGGAAATATACACCACCACTTGCCCCCGCCCGCTGTCGCACCTTCGCCCCCGCTCGCCCGCGGGCTTGCCATTTGTGTGTGTGTGTGTGTGTGTGTGTGTGTGTGTGCCGGGGGGAGGGGAGGGAGGACCTCCACCCCACCAATCAATCAATCAATCATTTTGTTTTCCTTTCTTTTTAACTTTTTTTTCACACACCAAAAACCACCCCCCGGAAAATATTTTCTTTTAACTTGTCTCTGTTCAAGGGGGTTGGGGTCGGGGTTCCGGAACCCCAATTCGCAACCCTCTTCCCCACACGCCTCCCCCCTCGGCTGCGGTGGCCCGTTTTTGCCCGCGGTCATACCCGCGGCGACCGCGGCTGTGGGGGGATTCATAGGCGAGGGGGAACGAGAGTGAATCTTTCGCTAGAACATGGAAAGATGCGCGGCCGCGAGGCCCCAAGGATGACACACATGGGTCAGGAACTCTGAGAAGGAAAAACAAAAGAGAAGAAAAAAAAGAAAAACTGGGTCGTTGTCAGCACGTGTATCCCCTAGGGCCTCTGCGTTGTTGTCAGCCCGTGTATCTAGTTGGGCCCCTGTATCCCCATTGCACCAAAGATAAAAATCATGGCGCTGTTTCTTTTCATGTTCTAGCGAAGATTCACTCTCGTTTTGCACATTTCGAGAACGATCGAGGAAACTGAGAGTGAATCTTCCTTTGGAACATGGAAAGATACAGCGCCATGATCATTTCTTTCCTTCTTCTTGTTTTTTTTTTTTTTTTTTTGGAAGACGACCTGCCCTTCCGACGTGGATGATGACTAGACTGCAGTTACAAACTCTTCCCTGAGAGAGCCATGCGACGGTGGAGTTTGGCCTGCAGTGTGAACTTTAACGGGGACTGGACTCCAAAACGGCGGTTTGAAATGTATTTTCAAACTCTAACCCTGACCGCGACCTAGATTTCTCTCTTTGTGTGTGTGTGTGTGTGTGTGTGTGTGTGTGTGTATTTGTGTGACGATATATATATATCTCCCTCTCTGCCTACGGTTTACCGGGCAGTTCTATTTATATATATATATAAGGCAAATTCTTTAAGCCCAACCAATTGAACTACCTGTCAAATCTGGACAGGACGGCCTTTCAGGCCGTTTTTATTGTCATTATAGTACCATGGGGAACCCCGTAGCAGCCACATCCGTGCTCAAGCCTCCAACGAAGGAACATGCGGGAGCTGCACCCACCAGCACCTGCTACAGCAGGTGGGCGATACCGGCCAGGGGTCAGCTGGTAGCATCAAGACCGAGCTTCTTCGATGGGCCAGTCACTGTGCCTCCCGTCCGGTCCCCTCCCCCTGTGAGCA